GAGAGATATGTCACGAGTACTTTACACACTATGCGGGTCAAACTCACCTACCTATAAAGTTATTATACACGCAGTGGCACTCTCTCTGTTTCAATATAGGAACTCATATACAGTATGCCTTTTTCCAGTCACTGGGGACCTTTTGCTCGTCCATGCATCTGCAGAACAGGATTTTAAGGGGCTCGACAAATTCGTTGCACAACTTTCTTAATACTGTACTCTGGAATGCACTCTGTCAGGGCCGAGGCTTTCATGAACATTTAGATTTGACGATTTGTTTCCGATACACTCCTCTGAGAACACAATAAGCATCAGCCCTGTGTCAAGTAGTCATTTCTCAAACACAGGAAAAGAATTTGTTTAATGCATTTGCCTTGTCCTGATCTGAGTCTGCACAACTACCATCTTCAAGCCTCAGGTCTGATACATCCATATTTCCAGCCCTTCTACACTCTGACTTAGATTGGTTCCTGGACCTGGCATACATCCTTCTCTCTTGTTCATCATTTGTCATAACTCTTCTCTTGAAGTTTTGAGAATTTTTCTTAACTTTGTCAACCGCTGCATGGTTCATGTCTAACGGTCTCCTTGTATTCATGGAGCCAGTGGATTTGGGCTTGGTTGTACATCTACAGTGTATTTATCAATCAAATAGTTCATTTCCTGTCTATGATATTCAGGGTAGCATCTATATTCTTATTTCTCAATGAGTCAGGCCAGTGAATACCCTTTATTTCCTCCCTCATCCTGTCATAATCGTGACTATTATTTTAACCTTAGCCAGCTCTCATCATGTACCAAGTAACGGTTAAATCTGAAGGACTCTGTCACATGATGGCTGGTGCCAATAGGAACTAGTTGTTCCAACTGGGCCACCATACCCTCCTCGTTAGTTATGATGAGGTCCAGTGGTTTCGGTGTTGTTTCCACTCTATAGTGAGCTGGATCTTTCACATGCACGGATAGAGAATTATCCCTCAAGCATTTCTACATAAAGAGTTTCAGGATTTTGAAGATCATTTGGTGTAATTTCATTCCTCCAATCGATGTCACCAGAGTTAGAATCCCCCATGACAAGGAGGTGGCTAAAGTTGAGCCCCATTACATTTTCTATTAAGGCTCGTAAGTTCTCTAGATTAAATAAATTGTAACAATGATTAAGTCTCTTCCGTTCAGTTTAATTTTACACCACTTTGATTCTTCAAAAACATCCTTCCCCTGCACCCTTACTCTAAGGTCCTGTCTAGCATAAATAACCACACCCCTCTTAATAATTCCTGCGAAAGGTTTATAATTGAATCATATCTATCAACTATATTAAATTCACATTCCCCCAGGTCGATCCTCCTGTTCGTATATCGGGTTGGTGAATCTTGAGTAAAGTTTCAAACTCTGCTGTCTTATCGAGGAAAGTGTCAGTACTGTACTGTATTTGCGTAGACAACTTTCAAATCGCAAACAGTCCTTGGCAGCGACTTCGAATTTGATAGTGCCTCTGACCTTTCATTCTTAGCAGCTCCATATTTTGTGGAGTGGGTGATTTCTCCTCGGTGAGAGATCATGAGGGCAGCAGTGTCTTGCTGTTTCCCCTTGTTCATCCCTCTGGTTCTGTACAACACTGGTGCACTTGCTTTCACTACATGTCTCTTGTATATTGTATAGCCCACCTGAGTTCGTCCCCATTTTTCATCAAATTCTCCCTCTTCTGCTTCAAGCACATCAGGAGTTCTCTATGCTTTTCCCTCTGCATTACTGTGTGATCTTGAAATATTGTGTTCCCTGATAAGTTTTTACCTGCCAAATGATATCCTACATTGCTACTCATTCTGTAATGTGATCCTGAGGGGGCAGGGCTTGTTTACTTGCATTTTCCCATAGCCTATTCACTTTGTTTTGATCATACTGTATACTGTACATACCCGGTACTGTATTTCATTCTGGGGTCATTTGGGTACCAGTGTGTCAGATGAGCGAGTTTTGGTTTTAATCCAGTTTAGCAAATGTGTTATTATTGTCAAGTAAGTTTGGACTACAAAAACACATCCTGATGCTCATGTAAAATTTGGCAACAGTGCTGGCACCAGAAGTGTTATTGTTGTGGATACTCTCCCCTACAACTGCTGATTGGTCACTTGCCGTCCACTTACCAGTCAACCAGCGGAGAGTTCCACAGACCGGGCCTCACTTTCGGACTGCGTGGTGATTGGCCAGTTACCGCCTTTACCTCAGCCAATCAGCAGCGCCGCTGACTTCACATATCTGGGGCCGGATAATCAAAACACCTCATAAGTTACGTCTTTCAGCATGATACAGTACCATATATTGTCGAATCTTTACAGTACCGTAAATTTAGCATACTCAAAATTTAATTACAGTTCCTTAAGCCTTTCGTAAGTTTTCATAACTCTAGTGTTTATCCTGTAAATTAAGTTCTCTTGTCGGAAGGAAGATGTCAGTGCAGGAGCTAGTTGGCCAATCAGCGCTCAGTTAACAAAATCATCAACCAATCACAAGAGAAGGAGAAATCAGCTGAGAGCGACGCACATAATATTATTTTGCAAACATGGAAGGACCACCAGCCAAGAAGAGACGGCCTAATTTCAGTGAGGCTGAAGTATACGCTATTCTGGGCAAATTCAAATAAATTGGTTATTGATAGCATAGCCTTGCCGAACCTAAATGACAAATCACTTCTCTTAAATTACTCCTTTAGCCTAGACCCTGGTGTTTTCCTTTCAATGTTGGGGACATTTGGTCTGAATTGTCTTCAAGTTCATACAAAAAACAACAATTTAAAACCTGAAAATATATCGGATTAGCCGTAAATTTTCTTAAATTAATACTCTACCTATGATAATGTTCAAGGAAAGTCTGGAACTAGACCTAAGGTAACTGCTAGACAAAGTGTCTCACTGAGGGCCTGACACTCGCCAAAAAACCATGTACACATTCTCTAACCTAACATACCATAACATAACCAAACCTATCTAACCTATATAACCTATAACCTATTGGTATAATTTCTTATTTAAATAATCCCCATGTTCTAACTAAATTAAGTAGGCCCCATGTTTAAACATTTATTTGCCTAAGATTGAAAAAGCAGTTATATAGGCCCCTATTAATTAAGTTAATTGCAATCCATATTTTACTCCTAATATCATTTAATTTTGGCTAGCCTATGGAAATTTATAGCCTTTCATGTTATCATAAGCTATATACATAAGAAAATAGGCTAAGGCTATTGGTTGAATATTAGAAAAACAAGGCGAAGTCTTGGCAGGAATGCTCACTTGACCTCATATTTGGCTTTCATTACTGAGGGATATTTACGGCTATACAACATTAATAAGTTCTATCTGCAAGTTTACACAATCATAAAACATATTATTACCCAAAGTGTGAACAATACAAACCTTCTGTTTTGGTAAAAAATACTTTATAATTTGTAAGAAGACAAAAGATGCGTCTCTCCCAAACTGAGACAAATACAAACACTCAAGCCGCTTATTATGGCAACAAAAAAGTTACGAAAAAGACAAAGTGAAATATTATATTTCAGTATGTTGATGTACAAAACATTTTCTTCATTATTGTATGATAAAACAAGTCTGACAAGCATTATTATAACATATTATTATTATTTTTTATACAATAGGGAATTAGTCACTACTACATCCGGGTTGAGAGCGTTACACAACCTCGGGAGCTGGTGTAAGTTACGTGCTTTAACTTACGGAGTTCGATGTCAAATATTTGTTTTGAGTATACCATCTGTGTTTTGAGTATGCCAATCTGAGACTGTAAGTCCAGTTGCGGGGTACACAACGACGTACAGTTCCATACAAGTTTTTGAGTATCCGGCCCCTGGACCTGATCCGGCAGAATGGTATAAATACCCCCAGCCTCGCTGTGAAGGTCATTCTACTCAACACTCTCAAACAGACAAAACCTCCTCTCAACAAGCTCCTCACCACACAGCAACTCCCTAGCACTGCATTGTACATATAATATATATATTCGTATTTAGAAAACGCCATTGTGAGTTCCCTTTCTCACCTCCATCCTTAGTGCGAGATCTCCTACATGTACGTATGTATGTGAGACTAACAAAGAGAAAATAGACAAACACAAAGAGAAATGTGACAACTGGCCACATACACTATGCTACAATATCTTTACTTTAGCTTTAGAAAATACCTGAAGAAGAAAAAGGTACGCTATTCCCCCCAACCAATTTGTTTATTCTTGAGGTCCTCCCTATTTGTTTTATTTGGAGTTAAGAAATAACTTTTCTGTACAGTAGATATTTTTGTCAGGTGGCTGAATAACCTGGGTTATTGTCCTTAAATATTACATACTGTATACTGTAGTCTTGGTTTTGCTGGGTGCACTCCTCCCCCCTTTTGCTGTATGTCTTGTAAGGCAGAAGATACAGGAATGTGAACTACATTAGCTGTATACCGTACAGTAGTTAAGAGTAAAATTACAATACAGCCCCTGTATTACTTTATATAAAAAAGATAAATTAAATAGTTCTTCATTGTCATTTTATTATGCCATGTATATTTTTTTTCGTTATTGGAACATGTCTCCCGGTATAATTTGGAAATCAATGGGGAAATCAGTTTTGATTTATGAAATGTTGATTAACAAAAGTTTTTCAGTAATGCTATCCTTTTGTAGATTGAGGAATTATGTTATTTTTTTTACATTGTCACAGTAATTGTACTATTGCTGTAGATATAGGTAATTATTCAGTAAGGGTGAAAGAATGACAGCAAATTAAGGGAAGTCATTAGTCATGGTATCATTCACCTGGCATTATAGAAAAGGAAAGGCTTGTGTGCAAAAAAAAAAGTAATATAGTACAGTAGTGTAGTGTATGAGCATTTTACATTTTTTATTGTAAATATGGTTTTGCTGTTTACTTTTCTTGTGTATTTCATTACAGTATTAGTTTGATATTATATATTTTTCATGTACATTTTGTGTTTCAGGTTAAGTGGAGGCATTGGTTTGAGAAGACACTTGCAGACAGCTGTACCACCACTTGCCCCATTGTCAAGAGTTACTGCTCAACCAAAACGTCGCCTCTCACCAACTCAGCTACCTCCAGCAACACCTACCACACCTTCACCTCTTTACAGTCCTACAAATGTTCATAGTATGACTGTACAGGGTACGATAAACCCCACAGTGCCAGCTTTGTTTGGACCTGCCCACAGCAAACCTGGAAAACCTAGTGGTGCTGGTGAACCTACAGATTCTAATAAAGCAACTCTGTATAGTAGCACAACCTGTAACAAAGCAACATTGTATGGTGTTAACAGTGATAATTTAGAAGTATTTATTGACAGTGTAAAGACCACTCCTAACTATTATGGAAGTGTAACCAGCAATAATACCACACTCAGTGACGACACCATCACAACTCCATCCAACTACTATGGTTCAAAAACCTTGGCGTCCGTCCAGCATCCAGCCATGTTATCTTCATCGGGTGTAGGTTCTCATCCGTCCGTCATCACTACCACAGCACCAGCAGACTGGGCACAACCTGAAGTTGGTTACTTTGGGCTACCATACTACAACAACCCTGTTTCAAGCTCACATGTATCTACAGGTTGGTAGTAAACATAAAGTACAGTTTATCACTGCATAAATCACCTTCATTGTCTTTTTTCAATAGGAGTCACTATTTGATACAAAATCTAGTAACATCATTCACTATTAATAACAGTATTTTTATGAACCATATCCATTTGAGGACATGAATATCCTCACTTCTCCATTAGTGTAGATGTTGTATTTTAACATAAATCTCATATAATTTTAATTTTTTATCAGACCAAGGTGTTGGGCGACAATCGGATTCAGGCAACAACTACTCTAAATCCAATACCACAACTGTAACTGCTGCTCCCCCGCAGTTTTCACACAAGCACACACTCCTCCGGCGGGCCTTCCAAGAGATGTTAAAAAGCGATTCTGAATCATCCCCAGAATTAGTACAAAAGGAAAAAAGTGTTTTTAAGTTTGATGATGCTGCAGACCTACCCAAGACACATGATGAAGCCTCGAAAATTACAGAGATGTTAGATGTTTCCACTCATGTGATGACAGCAACAACAAGTAAATCCCTTGATTTAGTAGATGATGAAAGTTCTAAATTATACATCCCAAAAGATGAAATATCTGAGAGTACAATTTTGCAGGTTGAAACTAAGTTCACACCATTGAAGAAAGAAATAGAACCACCAGGTGCCAATGACTCAAACGAAGAAATAGCAGTTGATATTACAACACATGAATCACAAGACACCAAGACCAGAGAAATGAAAATTATTGAAAAGTTGCCGGCAGGAGTTTTGGAATCTATAAAAGAAGGTGGAGGTAAATTTGATGTTAAATCTCTCAAGGGTGAAACAAAATCGGAGAGTGATATTCAAGGAAAAGAAGAAGACAGAGAAATGCAATCATCCTTACTACTTTCTGTTCTGTATAAAGAGTTAATGAGAACAAGGCAAGAAGTTGAAGAGCTAAGGAAAGTACAAGAACAAATGCTCACAGAGAAAGGAGAGAAAAAGGAAGACAACACAGAGGAAACCAAAAAGGAAGAAGGCCTCGACTCTAGTGATAAGAAGGGTGAGAAGAGAAAGTGTTCAGATGATGCCAACTATAAGTCAGTATTAGATAATAAAGAATCAACTTTACAACCTGAAGCAAAGAAATCAAAAATCAGCATTCGAAGTGATCTTCTGTTAACTGATAATATGATTACTACAACATCCCCAGCAACAACATCTGATTCTTCAGATTTGCCAAGAGACAGTCCATCATTATTACCGAGATCTAGTCCCCCACTCCTGAAAACTAATACCCAAATAATACCTACAACTAAAGTCCCATTAACTAGTCCCGTTTTGCCTGATCCAGGTTTTGAATTATCTGTTATTAGTTTAGTAAATTCTTCAGCACCACAAACTAGTCATGTATTATCAAGAACAAGTCCTGGCATATCCATGACGAGTCCTGGAATATCAAGAACAAGTCCTGGACTGCCAAGGACAAGTCCTGGACTGCCAAGAACAAGTCCTGGACTGCCAAGAACAAGTCCTGGGCTGCCAAGGACAAGTCCTGGGTTACCAAGAACAAGTCCTGGGCTGCCAAGGACAAGTCCTGGGCTGCCAAGGACAAGTCCTGGGTCAATAGGGAATAGTCCTGGAGTATCAGGAACAAGTCCAGGGCCACCAAGAACAAGCCCTGTAATAATGCAAGCTATGACAGTACCACACAGTAATTCAGTGTCACAGAATTCTCATATAGTGTCATACACGAGTCCTGCAATATTGCAAAGTCCTATAATGAGTGACTCGCCTGTACTAAATTCAAATGTTGCCATGTCAAAAATGACCATTGGACAACCAACTATCAGTCCTGGAATACCTAGATCCAGGCCATCAATATCCAGTACTATTACTGCAATACCAATATCTAGTCCCACTGCATCAAGGACTAGTCCAGTGATATCTAGGACAAGCCCAGTGATATCAAGAGTAAGCCCTGCAGTATCTAGGATGAGCCCTGTAATAGCAAGAGCCACTAGTATTCCAGCCAGTAAATCGGATTCACATTTAGCAGCAATGAGTCCTGACAAACTTCGTACTGTATTTGGGATCTCTAATTCAGAAGTAGAGGTCATGCCTGTATCAGTAGGAGGAAAGTATCCTCTTCCTGAACCTTCTCCACAAACATATTTAAAGGTGTTGGATGAATTCCAACATCTACCCCAGGAATCGCCTCTTCTGTTGAATGCTGTCAAGGGAGTACGACGAGATAGCTTGCCTGCAGATGTTGAAGTTTTAGCTTCAACTGGACTGCCACACTTTCGTCATAACAGGATCCCTCACGAAGATACCCGGAGAACTCGTCAGTCTCAAGAGAATGAAGTTAAGCACATTGCATTTGCCCCTTCTGACCCCACAGACTTACAACAACAATCATTACGAAAGCAACCTCCACCTCTTAAGTCAGCAGCCTCACTTGTGAGAAGATATTCAGATAGCCTCGATGTCCATCAGATAAATCCATTAATGCATCGCCTCATGTATCCCAGTACACACCCAAATCCTGCCGTCTCAATTCATTCCACAAATTCATCCACGGAGCAACAAAAAATGGCATCTTTATATTCATTTGCTCAACCACAGTGTAATCCTACACAGTATCCTCCCAATGCTCAAACTGGGCGGAGAAACAGTGAAAGCAGTTGCAGTGAAAGATCTCGGGAATATCAGCAGGCTGTTGCTTTGAGCATGCAACACCAATATCAGCAACACTTAGGTGCCAACACACCTATGATGAGGAGTCTTGGACCAGATAAAGCAAGTATTTTCCCGATACCTTCACCCATGTCAACAGTTATTCGCCCATATAAACCACCTTCACCACCTGTATCCAACCGATCTGCCCTGGAGTATCAGAGTGAGAACTTTTATCGTTCGAATATGCCATTTTTTGAAAGATTAAGAGAAAACATCCAGCAATCTGGAATACCTTCAGCAGACAGAGGACATGCAGGTCAAAAGAGGTTACAGCCAGCTACTGGAACTGTTGAAAAACCCCCTCAACCACAGACCTTCGCCCCTCGGGTCCTTGTCCGGGAGTCTGTTCCAGAAACGTCATCTCATATGCCTCCTCCATCATTTTCAACCACACATTTTGCTAATACTAACCAACACTTGCCGAATGTCATGCCCAATCATCATGGCCACTATCCAAATAATATGCATCCAAGTTCTACCATTCATCACCTGCCTCAAACTGGAGTACTTCCAGGTAACCATCAAGTTGCTTCATCTGTCATAGCAAACACCAACAGTAATCAACGCAACAACAGTGGAGGAAATAGCACTGGAGAGAAAAAGCAGTGTCTAAACTGTCCCCAGCCAGCTAGATTCCTGTGTTCAGGGTGCAAGAAAGCTTGGTATTGCTCAGAACAATGTCAGGTAAGAGATATTTATGAAATCAGAAATATTGTTAGCTCAGGGATGAATACTGTACTCCTAAATAATTTAGGTTGTCACTAGTTTTGTTGGTAATGAGCAATGGGAAATGTCAAAAGTTTCAGGATTTAGTACTTAACATTAAAGTAAACCAGACTTACCAATGATTTACAATGACACTGCCAGCACAAAACAACTTGTTCTCTCGAGTAAATATTTTGTGTAAAATATTACAGTATTTCATCTTTAGTTAGTGCAGTACCTTATGATACAACTTATTTTGATTAGAATATTTCAAACTCAGATAATTTCTGTCTTGCATTGTATATTCCATTTGTGATGTGTACTTTCAAAATGGTGACTTATCATTTAGGTACCAGTGTTTATAGGGCTTTACCTAACTGTACCATTAGGATAGAAGTCTTAATCCTAATGGTCAACAAGTTAGGTTGGTGCCCAGTAAACTTGGAGCCTATTTGACCTGTAACCTTTTAGAAGAACTATATGAAAGGCTGATGGTCCCTCTTTTAAAATAATTTCTATGCAATATCCATAATTTTGTTTATTCTTCTTATAACCCCAAAATTTTATAATCTGGATTTGTCAATATTATTCATATAAATTTTTTAGGAATTTTTTTCTATTGATACTGTAGTTGTTGTTTCCAAATGACTGAAATCAAGCATTTAATACTCCACTCTTTTTTTTCTTTCATTCCAGCGTGATCATTGGCGCATGCATAGTGCCATGTGTTCTCTGTGAGCCACTATGAAGTGGGGTCCCCTGATTTAGTGAAGACTGCCAAGGGCTACACATAAGGATTCCAAAGATTCCTGAAGACAACCAAAGGCTACACACAAGCATCATGGAGATCAGTAAGATAGTGCTGCCATGATCCACAGTGCTTGTGTAACCTGACTTTGTGTTTCCTAATGCTGCGTGACCTGACTATTTATCACATGTAAGTTGCACCAACTTTGAAATGGTAGATGTGTTTATGTATCTGGCTGTGAAATGGCCTTATATAATTATCATGAAATGTATTGCAAAGTGAACAGTTGTGTAAATAAATAGAACCAAGTACTCTATTGTACTGTACACTTATTTTGCAAATACAGTACCATAACAAAAACTGATACAATTAGTTGTAAAATGAGTACTGTACAGTACAGTACAGTATGTGATTCAGTATTTGGGAGAAAGATAAGGACAAGGTTGCATTTATACAGAAAATCCATCTGATACATGGGAATAAAAATTTAAACTAGACAACATACAAGAAAATACATATTAAACAGTGGATACTAAGACAGCTGTAGAATTAGAAAGACATACATGGAAGTACTAAAATGTCATGAAATGGTTTAAACACTGTGTGCAGATGTAACATCATTAGTTAAAACAAAAAAATATCGAACACCTTTGTGTTTTTGGAAAACTAAATAATAGCACGAGTTATTTTTAATCGACTACAGGTTGACAATCCCTTATCCAAAATCCTTGGGGCCAGAGGCATTTCGGCTTTCGAAATTTTCCGGTTTTCAGAATGTTTTTTTTTTTAGGTCGCCCGGGCACAAGTCACTGACCCACATTGGGGCCTGGGGGGCGAAAATATATTAAAAATTATGATAATAATAATTATAATAATAATAATTCATAGGTCCAGGTTGTGTTTCTCACTTTTGATCTTTTTTTCATTCTTGTATTTCTTTATTATTATTATTACAGTATTATTGTTATTATTGTTATGATTATTATTTTATTTTGGTGTTTTTTTTATTAAAATTTTTATTTACTATGAATAATTATTATAATTAATATTATTATAATTATTATTACTATTACATTTTTGCCCCCCAGGCCCCAATGTGGGTCAGTGATCTATGCCCGGGTGGGCTAATCCGTTTAAAAAAAAAAAAAAAAAATTTACCCCACAATAAAAAACTTTAGGTTTTCAGAGCTTTTCGGTTTTCGGATAAAGGGTTGTCAACCTGTACAAGCTGAAAATAAGACATTATATACAGGGTACATGAGGAACTGTGTAGTTCATGAACAAGTCCAAATGAGAGTAACTTGATGACTGATAATTCCTTTTACCAGTTTAGAGATTTCATAAAACGTTTATAAGGTTTAGTTAAATGATGTTAGTGAGATGCTCTTCTGTGTTATATATTTTATGGTGTTATTGGCATCATGTGGATAAATGTACAGTACCATATTTAGTGCATATTTCGAATTCTTGCCATAATTTTCCCACCATTTATTTCTAACTCATGTGTGCCATAATTTTACATTATTTTTTATACAAACTGATAATTGTACTATTTATTTTGTTTTGTTAATCAAAAAGTGGAAGTCTCCAAGACTCAAGAAGTGCACCCAACTTAATTACACATATCATAGTGTATAATGAACCAATATTTTTTTATAACTTTCCTACTTTTTCATGTGATTCTGTAAATATGTGTCTATGATTGTAGTATACAAAGTTGTAGCTTTTTAGTCAGTGTGCATTTAAGGAAATCATGTTTTAAGAGAACCGAGCTGGTGTAACTATTGTTTTTCTCAAAAGTGACTATAAAGAAAAAATATGATACATGCTTGTATTAATCAGCTCCCTCATATATTCATTAAAACAGTGTAAGTCATTATTTATTTATTTATTTTTATTTAAAATTTCATCATTATCAGGTTACTGTACTAGCCATTTGGGCCGTTGGTCTGTTCTTTGTCAGATTTTTATTGTCCAGTACAGTACCTGAAGGAAACCTGAGGTTGTTTGGTAGAATCATACTGTACTGGATAACACCCTTCTTACTTCTGTCTCATCAGGGATTGAACCCAGGACACAATGGTGAAAGATGTGTGTGTTACCGTAGTACCACAAACCCGTTTCATTTTACTTCATTTAGTAGGTTAGGCAGGTAGTCTTTGATTACCCTAGGGAGTTGCAACCCTGCCTTGCCAGCTGTGAGTTGGCATTAGGAAGAACATCCACAAGTAAAACTGCTTCAACTATGCTTGATGACATCACCTGGTCTCTGCTCTATTTCTGGGTTTGTGGGGCAAATGCCCATTCTGGTTTTACCAAATAGCTGCTATCAGATAATTGCAGCTAACCCCCAAAAGCATGGAAAATGGCTGTAAAACAATAATGGTGATGATGATACAGTAATTCAGAAACAACACGCATTCAGGTACCTCAATATAACGGTACACAAACAATAAATGTACTGTTTATTTTTATTAATTCTTACACAATAAGAAAAATATGGCAATTAATTCAAACAAATTACAGGTATACATCGATTTGCTTCCTCTTACAGTATCAACCTTTGATGAGATCACCTCTTCCAAGACAACACTGTAGTATTATTGCTAAGTATGATTTTTAGCTAATCTGATACCTGTAATACAGTACATATACTATATTGTTAAACATACAGTACAGTACTGACACTAGTATCAAGATATCAGCAATTAAAATTTTCTCGAATAACAAATATCTAGTCTCAAATGGACAGCTAACTCTTCCACTGTAGAAAGATAAAATTCTACCATAGATGACTTGCTTCTAAGAAAGGAGTAACCATTAAGTCTACAGTCGGATTATGGGTGCTGAGAATACATTTCAACCACTTCCTCCTCTCTTTAATTCTTTGTCAAAGAAGCTTACTGATACTGTACATAGCCTTCTCAATATGGAATATACCCAATAAAGGGTGGCTTTTGTCTGGTACAGTATAATTAGCTGACTCAGCCAGCAAGATCTAGTAATAGGAACATTGGTCGGGTATACTTTACTGCCCGCCCTTAAAATGTTTCAAACACAAAAGTGATGGCACTGACTGCAGTAGTGCTAAAAAGAAAATTAAATTCTTAAGTATATATCGAAGAAAAATGGAAATTATCCAAAAACTCTCTAAATTCTCAAACTCAATATGGAAACTCCATGATACTCCAGTGTATGAAATAAGATGTGCGTTTTAATGGTAGGAAATTATACCGATATGTAAAAATTTTTGTCTAAGTAATATATATATATATATATATATATATATATATATATATATATATATATATATATATATGGGGAAAAAAGGAAACCTACCCATTAACCCCTTTACTATGGGGATGTGGCATCCCCATAGTGATATTTTATTTGACTAATGCCAGACGATTTTATTCAACACAGAGGACCCAGTACACAGTAATGTACAGTAAATGGCTTGTTGAAACTGTTAAACCTTAACAGCAGTCATTTACTGGTAAGGTTCAACAAAGTAACATTATTAGTGACACTGACAACTCCGAATCTACAGCCTTGACTAGTAACCACCTTACAATGGGAAGACCAATTTATAATGAATTGGCTCCTGTCATCAGTGTTGTACATTGATCTGGCTATGTTTGGTTCACTCTAGCACACACACAATATACAACAAAAATCATATACTGTACCAGGTTTACTGAACACTAAAAAGGAGACAAGAATTCATCAGTCTTGACAACTAGACCAACTAAGCCACATTTCAAATATCTGCTCAAATTGGAATTTTCTTCCAGTTACAGTACCAAGCTCAGGTAGTAGTACAGTATTCAATGTTTGCCACAAAATTAAATAAAAAAAAATCCAGGTTTATTTGTAAATACAAACGGTACAATTCCTGCTTGCCACTGGAAATTTGACGATGAGTCAAGTTATTATTTCAGAACATTTGTTATATACAGAACAGTATCTTGTAAACAAATTTAAATTACAACAAATACAAAAAGGGAACATATTCCAAAAATTTATTAGTTTTATCTCAAATTTAATTGTACAGGGTAAATGGTATTAATTACCCTTGATAACTAAACCAAGTTTCAAACTGATAATACAGTACAGTGGTCCCTCAGTTAACGAACGGTTCAATTAACAAAATTTTGGTTAACGAATTATCTCCCATAAGGATTTTCAGTTCGATTAACGAACAAAACTTTGATTACTGAAATCCTTACGACAAACACGTTTTGTTGTGAGCATCAACTGATAAGCCAGTCTGCCAATACAGTACAGTACAGTAATCAGTTCTATGTTTACATTCGTTTCCAGTGGAGTAAAAATCAAGAAAGTTGGTCTCTTGAATATTTCTGCAATTTTTGTTAAAATTATTGGTCATTCTGAAATTTAGTTAACATATTGATAATATACGGTGCAAAAATTACGAAACACGAAGAAGGCATTAGGATCAATGTACTCTGTAAAGAATATGACATGTCATCATCGACTGCCTCTACAATCAGCTGTTTGATATGTAAACAAAGCTGCCGGGAATACAACATACACACCTCAAAGTAAGTTAAAATACAGTATTCTTTTGTTTTTATTTATTATTCTACAGAATACTGTACAGTACAGTACTGTATTAAGTTTATAAAGTATTTAATTTTTTGTTAATTCTATTACCGGTATACAGTACTTTGTATGTACAGTATACTTTTTCTGTGAGTTGGAACCAATTACCAATATCCCATTGAAATAGTCGATTCTGTTAACGAAATTTTCAGTTAACGAATGACTCTGTGGAACGAATTGTGTTCGTTAACCGAGGGACCACTGTATTGTACAATCCAACTGCCTGGTACAATGTATGCAGCATCCACTCTGCACTATATAAACACGCACAAAATTATAAGGATACGACCAGCATAACCAAAATAAAACATAGGATTTATCTCATTCAACAGAAACCAAGAATTCATCTCACTTTACAACTAAACTCGCAGGTTTATAAGTTGATATCCAAACTCTCTGTCACTATGTTATCAAGCTGAGATTTTCTTCCAGTTAGCCACTGTGACAGTCAAAATAGACAAGGCACCAATTAAACATGAGATTAATAATACAGTAATGGTTTCTTCATCACTATGGTTAATACAGTATATAACAGTTTAAGTTCACCTTGGAAATGTAGGATAAATTTTGGTGAATAGGTGAGCACTAGTTTGAATCCTAGTCCATGTTTCTGGGTTGTCAGAACTGGTTTACCCTCAGAATCTTTAACTCTCTTCAATAGATGCACTATACTGCTTTATTTTCTGTACAGGTTCAATTTTTTTTAATGAATTCACACGTGTTTTTTTTTTTTTCACTCCCTTAACTACAGTACATTGCATGCACTAAAATGACATCCAGTCAAAGAATAAGAAAATAATTTAATATTTCTTCAATACAAAAAGTCTATATGGTACAGTAATTAATTTAAGTAAGCGAGAAGAAGAAAGTAGAGTACTGTAGTATAACTAATTTGGGTGTAAAGAGGACATTCCTGAGGACATTCATAAGTTGGATTTGTACGTAAGATGGACACATGCTATGTGCATACTGTACTTACATAACAATGTTTAAAATCACACTACTGTATATCATAGCCTAAAATTACTTAATTTAAGACAAAAGAAGTCACAGAATAACAAAATACAGTAAATGAAAGTAAAAAAAAAAAAAAAAAGCCATCAGGTAAATAAAATACTGTAAATCTCAAGTTTAACCTCGTTTGTATCAGCAGGCATTCCTAAGTCGAATGTTCGTAAGTCAGGGACCCCCTGTATTACTGAATGAACAGTCATATCTTTTTTTCCCTATATCACTGCCTACACACCTTTGGCATTCTGGCAACTGGGAAAAAACATGGAAATGTACCTGATCATAACAAGACAAACCACTGAGGTACATACACAGTACAGTATGTACAATTTTAAAAAGTGGCTTTATCGTACATTAACCAGGAACTTTAGGAAATCTTTCAGCCAATTAATGATAGCCAGGTTTTGATTTTTCCATAAAAAATACGTTTATCCTATGGTTCTTGTTGTGATTCAAATGAATCTGACCTTTGTTTCTGGTGCTAACTGCCCGTTTTCGAGTTAAGCCTCCTCCCCCATGACAGGGATGAGGGAAGGACCTAACCTAACCAACCATAAAAACCTGACCTCGGATCTTACTTAGAGGCTGGTGTCGACATCAGAATGTGACGCGTCTGGCTCCTTTGACTGTGAGAGTGGCCTGTAGCCTGATGATCCGGCCTGCGGGTTCTCGGTCTTCGCTAATTGGCTACTGCCTTCCCACAATGCAAGACATTAAACAAATTATGAACAGGCCGTGCATTTCCCATAGTGAATCATTCTCCTCAGTTCATTGTGTACCTATTGCTGAGAACAGATGTTGTGGATTTTTTAACTCACTATATCTCCAGTATTTCTCATCAGTGCAGAAAGTGTCATACAAGAAATTTTTCTTATTTTTGTTTGGTAATCTGGTTACAAACAATAAATTAACGGAATTCAAAACCTGGCTGCTATCCTAAATTGACCAATTTTTTCTATTGAAGATGCTATATGTAAATGCTTTTTTACCTCATAAAAATACCATAAAATGATAAGGTTTGCAATTTGTGTACAGTAATAATGTGACTGTAGATACTATCTCGTTCTGAATATACTAATACAGTATATTCACTATTTACGTGCTGGCGGTTTCATTTCACACCGGTCAATACTCACAAATAATCAGCGTTTTTATAAGAAAAGATTTCTACAGTCACTTGCAAACTTAACCTAACCTAAACACGTTTCAGTAATCTAGATTATCAGTGCTATCAGCCTCCATCAATCAGAATGTGTGCCACACAAACAGCAGAAGTAAAGGTCCACTACCAGACACACCACCACTTCAAACAAATATCAAATGGCAAGTTTACAAGTGACACCTTCATATTGTTTACAAGTACTGTACTACGACTGAAACTCGGATATAATCTTGCCATACATCACTGAGTAGGAAACATAACTGCACTGGCAACAAGAAAGGCATGCAAACGTTCCTCAGGTGTAGGAAAAGTCTTCCTGAATACAATGGTTGCCAGATGTCCCCTTAGTTGTTCCCAGCACCATCCATAACTGGGCAATTCCTCCTTCACATCACGCCACAGACGTTGTATGTTTTGCATGGTCGACTCTGTCTCAGATTCTGCAAATTTATTAGAATGTATCGCTGTTCTGTGCTCATATCCTTCATTCTGCAGATTTTTATAACCTTTCCAGTCATCGGTAATGATGACAGTACCGGGCAATACACACCGCTTGATGGCTGCCAACAACGTCTGTTCGGTACGATCCTTGACAATTACCAAAAATACTCTCCTCGTGCCACGTTGGATGCCTCCAAGCACCCAGTATCCCTCAATCGCATGCCCAAGGCTGTCTTTCCTACTTCCAAACATTATCTCATCAATCTCAACAATGGTTCCTGGTCCACCAAGATTGTTGCACTTAGTTTCACAGTAAGTGCAAGTGACCACTCGGAAAACATTAAAACAGTCAATCACAACCTTCTGAGTAAGACCGACTTCAAATACCACTTGCTCCAGTGATATTCCTGGGATGAGGAACCAATAAATTAGTGTCAGTATCTGCTGGAAAGAAAAATTACTTTGTTCAAAAAGAGTGCCCTCCAGTGCACTCACATTCAACCTACACCTCGTCTTCTTCATGTTGGGTTTGCGTCCCTGGTACACCACTTTGTTACATACAAAACGTCTTGCGTGATTGGGATAAATCACAGTATTACAGGTTGGACACTTGATAAATTTCTTCACCACACGATGATTCAAAAGGAATGCCCGAAGTAGATCCTCGTCACCCATGACATGGTTTAAGTCTATATAGTTCAGTGAGCATCCTTGACATTCTTCTTCCATGGTTACTGGTGGTATATAACTTCTTTAAACTGTGCTCGTACTCAAGAGGGGTTTTTCAGACTCCTGTACACCAATATGTTTTTAAGCGGATTGATGTTGTGTGGTGATGACAGAGATAAAGCGTTTACTACAGCACCATAGGATAAAATATATGCTTTGTTATGCTCCTTCCTCTTCTTTTCCTTTTCCGACAATTAAACAAAGGATCTAGTCTTGGCTAAGTTGACTTACACTGCTTTGAAAGACTTGTTGACTTGTTGACTAAAGCTCCACGGGTCGTTTATACTACAAGAATAAAACACGTTTTCTTTGACACTGAATATATATACTATCGTAGTCACTGTATTGTAGATGGTTCCGTTGAACCCAGCAATACGAAAGCAGGAGCAGCCTTCACCATAGTAGGAGGTGACACGGTCCTTTGGTGAACTTCAGATTTTTTTTCCATTTCACCACCGATCGGCTCGTTAGCCATTTGGGCGATCGGTCACGTCTCTGTTACGCACTGTTGGCAAGTACTGGGCATGCACCGGCTCCTGAATGTCCTGGAACCTGCTCCAGTGTTGGTCAAGTCTGGTCTTGAAAGAATTCACACTCGGTGCCGTCTTTCTTTACTCACTTTTTTTTAGCGTTCGTGAACCAGCACCTTGTATTGCTCCCTATCATATGTTTCCTCCTTTTACTCCTCTTTCTTCCTCGTCCATCCCTCCTTCTCCACTCGGTCCTCCTCCTCTTACCGTTTCCTTATACTACTGTAGTGGATTTCTCCCCTACAAACGCTGTTTGTCGCTGAGTAGCCGACCCCACGAATTCCCCAGTGTTTGCCTCGTGGTCTAGGTCAACCAGCGCCGCCTTACATGACGGAGGTCAACTACTAAGCCACGCCTACCCCCCGCTATTTAAGACCTGACCTCGTGGTGACCGCTCTCTTTCTACCTCCACCAACCAGCCAGCAACACCTCCTCCTCCTCCGCCTGCCTGGTGGTCCTCGCTCCTGCCGGCGAGCATAGCGACCCACAAGCTGGTCCTCCTCTGAGCATCCTCACCAACCAGCTCTCTCTACATCACGCTTGTAACCACGCTGCCACTTCCCAGCACCAAGCTGCATTGTACATCCAATACAACATGTATACAGAGAACACATTGTGAGTTTCCTTTCTCCAACCCATCCTGAGTGTGAACCCAAACATCCCATACCCCATACTACTACTGTTCCTTCACGTACTCTTGCAACACTTTCTGGCAGATTGTTCCAAGAGTTCACAACTCTCACTTCGAAAAAGTTTGCCCTCGCAGTTTTCTGGACCTGTGGTTTGTTCAGCCTTGAGCTGTGACCCTGTAGTGGATTCCTCCCCTAAACACGCTTGTCGCTGAGTAGCCTACCCCACCAATTCCCCAGTGTATGCCTTGTGGTCTAGGTCAACCAGCGCCGCCTTACATGACGGAGGTCAACTATTAAGCCACGCCTACCTCCGCTATATAAGACCTGACCTCGTGGTCAGCAAGGGGAACCAGATCAATATAATTTTAAGGGACGTTTCTAAGGCTTTTGATAAAGTTTGGCATTTAGGCTTAAAATATTAAAATTGGGACTTAACGAACACTTGCTAAGAATGTTGTGTAACTATTCAGATGATAGGAGAGCACAAATTCAAATTGGAAACTTTATGGGAACTATGTTTAATCTTGAGAATGGAGTACCTCAAGGAGGATGCCTTTCTCCAACACTATATACAATTTATACCTCAGACACACCTCAACCTACCCCCTTTAGCGAATATGTAATGTTTGCTGATGATATTACTCAAATAGTATCATACCCACGAAAATCAACCCAATTTATAGCACTCTACACGGTAAGAGCGATAAAAAATATAAATGGTTTTGAGAAAAAATGGACTAAAACTAACAAAAAGAGGATATATAACATACTTAAAAGATAAAGAACGACAGGCAAGAATAAGATTATCAAAAATAAAACGCTTTAAGAACCTTAGCATTAATAACAAAAGAAAGATTTATGTAGCCCTTGTCAAATCAATTATGGACTACCCACCCATCCCATTGAACACTCTTAGTAAAACGAGCATTAAAAGGTTACAAACAGTACAAAATATAGCCCTCAGATTTATATATAACATAAAATATACAGACCATATCAATAATGAACAGCTACACAAGAGAGCAAACCTCCTAGCAATCAATGTAGAAATACACAACAAAGCCGCAAATATTTGGAAAAAAGTGACTGAACTTAACACAGAAACATACCAAAACTGGATAAATAACATAGACAACGAAGAATTCCAAGAACACAGTTAGTTTAAATCAGCCAGGAAGAAAGTAGTTGAACCATCTCCTGCCCCAATATACATATAAAACATTAATAGAGAGAATAAAAGATGAGAGTGACCTACCAGCTCCACTAAGACCCTGGCAGGCCTCTCCATACAGTGTACCTTTAGACTAACACAACTAACACTTAACTAACACCTTAGCCAAAAAAAAAAAATTGTGACTACCCTCCCAGCTACACAAGGACCTGGGCGGGCTCACTAACTTCAACAGTAAATAAAAATAATAATAATAAGCAGCACCATATAAATAAACCAATATTAATACAAGGGTCTGACGACCCAAGGAAGCAGAACAAAGATAAAACACCAATAGGAAAGATGAAGCGATCTGGTTGAGCCCAGATTCTTTCTACTCCTACTGTATTTCAGTTTCACCACTTTTTCTTCAACCCCTAATAATCTTCTTTCACCTCATAACTAATGACTCCGTACCGTACCGACCTGCCTCTCTCTTTCTACCTACACCAACCAGCAAGCATCACCTCCTCCTCCTCCTGCCTGGCGGCCCTTGCTCCCGACGGCTACCATGGCGACCCACAAGCTGGTCCTCCTCTGAGCACCCTCACCAACCAGCTCTCTCTACATCACGCTTGTAACCACGCTGCCACTTCCCAGCACCAAGCTGCACTGTACATCCAATACAATATGTATACAGAGAGCACATTGTGAGTTTCCTTTCTCCATCCCATCCTGAGTGTGAACCCAACAACCTGTACTCCACAACCCCTTGGCGAGCGTCCGCCAGCTCCAGGTAAGGACACTCGACTAAGTAGTGCCCCTTGAGAGGCTTATACACCTCAATTAGGTTGCCCCTTGCCCGTCTGTAGGCGCTCCAATCTTTCAGGGTAGCTGAGGTGCCGAAGTGCAGGCACCAGTCTGATGGCCCTCCTTTGAACATTTTCAATCAACTGACAGTCCCTAGTATATCTCGGGGACCAGACGGGGTGACATTGTAGCGTAGTGTATGTGGCCAGTTGTCCAATTTCTCTTTGTTAGGCTCACATACATACGTACATGTAGGAGATCTCGCACTAAGGTGTGAAAGGAAACTCACAATGGCGTTTTCTTTATATTTATATATTATATGTACAGAGCAGTTAGGTGCTGGGAAGTTGCTGCGTAGTAGAGGAGTTGCTGTGGAGGAGCTTCTTTAGAGGAGGTTTTCTCTGCTCAAGTGGAAAGTCGGCAGCCCACACCCTCACATTTTTGCTTACACCGAGAACACCGGCACAAGCAACAACATTGCCGAGATACTGAGCACAGTGGACAATAAACCAGCTTTGGTGGTCTTCCTCGACTTGGAGAAGGCCTTCGAACTAGCAAATCCACTGGCCATTATAACAACGCTCGCCGAAAAAGGTGTCAAAGGATGGTTGCTGGGGTGGATCCAGAACTACCTTACACAGAGAGAAGCAAGAGTACGCTTTCAGGGAGCAACTTCAAGCTACAGGGTCCACGAAAACGGAACCCCACAAGGAGGCATCCTCAGTCCAAAGCTGCTCAATGTCCTGATGGAAAATCTAGTCAGACTACCTTTCAGACAAACAGCCAAGCTCCTCTGCTATGCAGACGACTTACAGCTCATAGTAAGAGGAGCAAACAGACTAGTCAACACGCACTCCAACTTATAGAAGTGGAGTGCAACAGACTTGGACTCAAGATAAATCCAGCCAAGTCGAAAGCGATGGCCATCTGCACAGACACACCAGACATGATGCTCTCCATACAAAACACGCCGGTAGTCTGGACCAACACCCACCAGTGTCTTGGAATCTGGTACGACCAGAAACTCACTTCCAAGCCGCAACTCGAGTATCTCAGGCACAGGAAGAAGAGCAGACACAACATAATGAGGTCGCTCACCAGCACAACCGCAGGAGCGAACATACACGTGCTCAAAGCCTACTACACGGCCGCCATCAGATCGCTGGTAGATTGCAGTGCTCCAGCGCTCATTGGACTGAGAGAAGACCAGATAGCTAAGCTAGAAGTTATCCAAAATAATGCTCTCAGGACCATTCTCGGAGCACCCAAGTGGACCATAATTTGCAATTTGCAAATGGAAACTGAACTACCACCCCTGGCAGTACGAGTCAAGCAGGTGACAGCCGGTCTCCTCGCCAAAATCTGTAGATCAGATAAGCCCACAGCTGCCAAAACGCGAATCAGTGCCTCCCTCCACCTCGACCACAGAGTGCGAGGGGCCACCTGGTCGCACGAGGCAAGCGAGGTCATCAGGCACCTGCAAGCATAAATACTCGTCAAGAACAACAAAGACATACGAGACAGGGATTATGTAGTTCCACCACCATGGAGCCCTCCACCAGCCACACTCAAAATCACCGAACTAGGTGATAGCAAAGCCAACCTCCAGAAGGAGGACCTCAAAAGAATAACTCAGGAAGCCATAGCCACCGAGACACCGGCTGATGCAACATCCTCCCTCAGCAAGTGCAGACCCCAGTTCGGGGGGCGCGCCACTCCGAAACTGACCACGTCCAAGAGTGGGGGTTGGTGGTAAGCGTTTACTGACCAAGGGTCCGCTTACACTTGCAAACCTGCAGTATCCTTTCATATCTGCAGGTAGGACAACCTCCATCCCCAATCCCAAATCCGGTCTGGCTGCTCCAAGAGCTCCAGCCGGAACCATCAAACGGGCCGCCTACAGGCAAAGGCCCGTGTCGGACTACGGTCCGACAATCTCAACAACAACAACAACACGCTGCTGGTTGGCTGGGAAGCGGACGGTAATTGACCAATCAGCAGTTGTGGGGGAGAGTATTCACTACAACAGTACTCCAGATGGGGAAGCACTTCACTCTTGAAGATCTTTACGAGGGACGGACCGTCTAGATATCTGAACGACCTTCTTATTAGACCTAATAATTTATTTGCCCGATTTACCTTCTTCTCGCAATGGCCGAGAACTTCAGCTCATTGTCAACATACACACCTAGGTCCTTCTCACATTCAGTCTCAAATAGTGCAGTTTCTTCATCCCGTTGGAACATATGATACGCCTCCTTACCGTTGGTACACCCCAGGTGCATCCTCTTACACTTCGTGACATTGAATCTCAGCAGCCATTTCTTCGACCATTCCTGGAGCGAAACATTGAGATAGACATCCCATCCAGTCACGAACAGATAAAGAAGACACCGGCTCCTACTACCACCTGAGATCCCTTGTCCGAGAATTGCTGTTCGACACCACAACCGCATCCAGCCCATACGTGCACGAACTGATCGCTATAAGAACAGCCCAGTCCCAACCATTGTAAAAATTATCAATAACTTGTAATAAATCAGTGTATTCACTCCCAGTAAACACTGCTCCTTACACTGTCACTATGTTGAAATGGACTGTAGTTTGAGCTTTTCCCCATCTAGTTATTATATGTCTTATTTGTGTCACTTATGTTACTTGTATATTATTTGTAATTCGTAACCCATTCCCCAAATATGTAACTGTATATTTTCAGCCTTCTGGCTGCCAAGCTCTTTCAATAAACCGTTAATTATTATTATTATTATTATTACAATAACACGAACGGCCCTGTGGAAAATAGAAAGACATACAAGATTAACACCAGAATCACGAATGGCCAGGTGGTATATCTGGTCATGAATTATGAGACACTATTCATGAAGGATATAACAAGATGGGAAGAAAGCACCCTCCACCGACTGAGACTGGGATACCCATGCAATTGGGAGATGGGTGTACAGGTACCAGCAGAGGAGCACATAAGACCTGCGACATGAAGCCGCTGGTGAGATGGTCGCTGGTGACGATGATCGCTGGTGAGGTGGTCGCTGGTGAGGTGGTCGCTGGTGAGGCGGCCGCTGGTGAGGCGGTCGCTGGTGAGGCGGCCGCTGGTGACGATGATCGCTGGTGAGGTGGTCGCTGGTGAGGTGGTCGCTGGTGAGGTGATCGCTGGTGAGGTGGTCGCTGGTGAGGTGGTCGCTGGTGAGGTGGTCTGGTGAGGTGGTCGCTGGTGAGGTGATCGCTGGTGGTGATCGCTGGTGGTGGTCGCTGTGGTGGTGAGTGGCTGGTGAGGTGGTCATGGTGAGGTGGTCGCTGGTGAGGTGGTCACTGGTGAGGGATCGCTGGTGGCGGTGATCGCTGGTGAGGTGGTGCTGGTGAGGTGGTCTGGTGGTGAGGTGGTCGCTGGTGAGGTGGTCTGCTGGTGAGAGGTGAGGCTGGTGCATCAGCTGGGGTGAGGTGAGTGCTGGTGAGGTGGTCGCTGGTGAGTGAGTGCGCTGGTGAGGTGGTGGCTGGTGAGGTGGTCGCTGGTGAGGTGGCTGGTGGTGGGTGGTGAAAGGCTGATCGCTGGTTGAGGTGATCGCTGGTGGGGTGGTGCGCGCTGGTGAGGTGATCGCTGGTGGGGTGGTCGCTGGTGGTGTGGTGGTCGCTGGTGAGGTGTCGCTGGTGAGGTGGTCGCTGGTGAGGTGATCAGGTGTGCGCTGGTGAGGTGATCGCTGGTGAGGTGATCGCTGGTGGTGAGGTGGTCGCTGGTGAGGTGGTCGCTGGTGAGGTGGTCGCTGGTGAGGTGGTCGCTGGTGAGGTGATCGCTGGTGAGGTGATCGCTGGTGAGGTGATCGCTGGTGAGGTGATCGCTGGTGAGGTGATCGCTGGTGAGGTGGTCGCTGGTGAGATGGCTGGTGAGGTGATCTCGCTGGTGGTCGCTGGTGAGGTGGTCGCTGGTGAGGTGGTCGCTGGTGAGGTGATCGCTGGTGAGGTGATCGCTGGTGAGGTGATCGCTGGTGAGGTGATCGCTGGTGAGGTGATCGCTGGTGAGGTGGTCGCTGGTGAGGCGGTGACTCAGGAGGTGTTGGCTCGCCAGGCGGTGTTAGTTGACGTTTGTGATGAGGATCAGCTGTCACGGGACTGCTATGTGGGAGCTTCACTGTCACTCCCTCACTTCATAAGACTGTAAGTTAACTCTCCGTGGTATAGGGGGGACACAGCAGCACTAAGTACAGCCATAATACCTCTATTTCTCCATTAGGACTCGGAATGGAATTATTCTGATTTGGAGACGATGATCCAATTTATGCTGTCAGTTTAATTATCTTGTTTGTATTATGATAGAAAGGTGAAGTTAATTTAAGGGAAGTCCGTAATAAGATTGTTGGCAAGGGTAGAGTGAAGAATATAAGTATTAATAATAGGGTGTAAGGTTAAGGAGGTGTGTTACTTTATATCTTTCAAATTTTGAGTAATCCTGGAGGAGATGGCTAGCACCAGAAGGTGTTGTTCAATTTCATTAATTTTGGTCACTGTACTTTAGACCAACCACGGATACGAGTCCCTAGAGGTTGACCAATATGTATGTTTATCCAGTGTATTTTGGCGTGGTTTAAATGAATCTGACCTTCATTTTTGGCGGAAATTGCTCAGAATAAGGAGATCCAAATGTTTCAGTAGTTTATAACTCTTGGGTGCGCAATGTCCGAAAGTAAAATAATACCCACTTTTCTTCTATTACATTTACCACACAAATAAACTAAAATTACCTAACCTAACTTCCTAACCAGGGGGGTTTTGACCCCTTGGCTACCCCAGTACAGTATATTTAAGTCATTTGCAATGGAAAAGTCACAGAAAAAAGTGTCTTAAAATTGCCTAAGCCATCGGAATAACACATTGCTTGGTAGTTATTGACGATTGATCCGCCACCAATTTTTCATAGAAACTTATTATAAAATCGCTTAAATTTTATTGTGCTTTATAGTGGCACCGTCATAGTTTGTGCAAATGTGTTAAAAAGTGGTTATTTCTAAATTAAACCTAACCTAACCTTAATTATCTACCAAATGAAGCATTTGCACAAGAAATGATTATCATATCAGAACTCACTGATGAAAATATAGTAAGAAAAATAACAAAAATAAATAACTCATCAACTGGACTGTGGTAAATATTAACCCATTGCTCAACTACTAGAACCTGACCTAACCAACCAAAGAAACCTACCTGACCATACCTGTCTTCTTAGCCATGGGGGCAGACCCCCTGCCATATTAAACAAAGTATTTACTTTGATATCTGGTACCAATAAAAACAACTTTATTGACGAGGTATGGTGTAATTTTATGTTTTTTGTAGACATGAGAGCACGCATGGAACCGGTCCAAGCATAAACAAACAAAGAGAAGCGATAGCATTCACCGAGACGGCAGATTTTTTGGCTGAATATTTATGGTAAATAATTAATTTTTTCCCGTACAAAGCACATCGAGACATCAGAGGTTTACCCTACAATATCCCTCATCCTTCATACTCTGCCTACCACAGGTGATTTATGTTCATAGATAGAGAAGAACTAAAAACATTAAAAATAAATACTTATACAGGTTGACAATCCCTTATCCAAAATCCTTGGTGCCAGAGGCATTTCGGATTTTGGAATTTTTCGTTTTCAGAATGGTTAGTTTTATTTTTTCTCTCTCTCTCTCTTTTCTTTTAGCCCACCCGGGCACAAGTCACTGACCCACATTGGGGCCTGGGGGGGGCGAAAATATAATAAAAATTAAAATAATAATAATAATAATAATTCATAGGTCCAGGTCGTGTTTCTCACTTTTTATCTTTTTTTCATTCTTGTATTCTTTATTATTATTATTTTATTATTACAGTATTATTGTTATTATTATTAATTTTATTATTATTTTATTGTTATCATTATTATTTTATTTTGGTGTATTTTTTATTAAAAATTGTATTTACTATGAATTATTATTATAATTATTATTATTATTATTATTATTATTATTATTAGTATTATTATTATTATTATTATTATTATAATTATTATTACTATTACATTTTCGCCCCCACGCCCCAATATGGGTCAGTGATCTATGCCCGGGTGGGCTAATCCGTTTAAAAAAAAAAAAAAATTGCCCCACAAAAAAAAAAAAACAACTTTCGGTTTTCAGAGCTTTTCGGTTTTAGGAATTTCGGATAAAGGGTTGTCAACCTGTAATTAAAATTAAAATTTATCATGTCATTTTTATTATTTACTATCATCCAAAGAACATCAGTGGAAGAAATGGAAGAAATCGAAGAACTCCTTCGAGTGTTAGCCATCTCCTCAAATATTATTAAATATTGCCACAACAAAGTCACTCTGCATCTATACAGCATTTTTAAAAATTACTAAGAGTATAATTGTGGTACAGCGGTAATGTGCATAACTTTCACCAATATGTCAAGGGTTCGAGCCTCGGCCCGGACACACGTGAGAAGGGTGTTATCCAGTGTGACCCTCACTACCAAACACCACAGGTTTCCTCCTGTACTAACACTGGATAGACCGCCCAAACGGCTAGTAAGCTGATAAGTGGCGAATATGATAAAACATAATTGCTGGTGTTATGAGGGGCCTCACGTGGTGTAGTAATTCCCTCACAGATGGTGTTATGCGGGGCCTCACGTGGTGTAGTAATTCCCTCACAGATGGTGTTATGAGGGGCCTCACAGATGGTGTTATGAGGGGCCTCACTGTGGTGTAGTAATTCCCTCACAGATGGTGTTATGAGGGGCCTCACATGGTGTAGTAATTCCCTCACAGATGGTGTTATGCGGGGCCTCACGTGGTGTAGTAGTTCCCTCACAGATGGTGTTATGAGGGGCCTCACGTGGTGTAGTAATTCCCTCACTGATGGTGTTATGCGGGGCCTCACGTGGTGTAGTAATTCCCTCACAGACGGTGTTATATGAGTGAGGTGTGGTCCCAGGCCTTCCTATCGTAGACGGATTAACACATCGCTGGTTGTTGGGTCTCACGGGCCATTATCACTGGGTACCTGGGACCTCACTCTGTGAAGGTTAACTTGGGTGCGACTGTTACTGTTGAGTTGTTCTCACTGACTTAAGCACTGTTCACCACTGTTCACCTCTGTTTAATACTGGTTCCATTCCTTTCCTAAATGAAATAGTAACTTCTGGCGTGAACTTGTTGATATTCCGGTGGGGAGGAGGGTTCAGGGGAGGGAGTTGGTATGGGCCAACTTAACAGTTGACCTGGCTGCTCCGAGAGGAGCGCCAGGTACGTCTTGACCCTTCGGTGGTCAAGGATGTAGTGTATATGTATGTATGTATGTATGTATGTATGTATGTATGTATATATATATATATATATATATATATATATATATATATATATATATATATATATATATATATATATATATATATATATATATATATATATATATATATATATATATATATATATATATATATATATATATATATATATATATATATATATATATATATATATATATATATATATATATATATATATATATATATATATATATATATATATATATATATATATATATACATATTATTACAGCATCTTGTTAACTTAACCCAACTGTCTAGAAGGTCGTTTGCTAACCTAAAAGTTCGTTGGAATCAAACCATTGTTTCAATGGTTTTGGGTACTGGTTCTAGCTCACCCAAAATTTCCTAAATTCAACAAAAATGGTAGAAAAGTCTACTTACTTGAGGTATGTCTCTGGATGATGATGATGATGATGGGATTTAGAATGGGGGTGGAGGAGAAGGAAGAAGAGAAGGCATTGGGGTGGAAGAGAAGTCGCCCCATGGCGCCATTTCACTCATTATTTTCTTTAAATCAACACTGCACTGCATTATATATTGTCAATTTGTAAAATATATTTCAAAATGACCAATAATTTGCTTGGAAACACATAAAAAAAGCATTTAGTTGAAGAGAGTCTCAAGCAAGATGTTACCTCCAGTGAAAACAGAGAGAGACTAACGTCTGTTTGCTGTGTTAAGAGGCTGGATGCCACGCATTAAACTAGTCACTTTACCTTCAATTATGTTCAATAATTGTTAAAATGACTAAAAAATTGAATATTAAACTTTTAAAATTATTGAATAGTATAAACTTCTTGATATTTACTAAAATAGTAAGGAATTTAAGCTTCCTAGAACCGAAGGCTAATGGGCTGGCGACTGATGTTTTCAAAGCTGGTTGCCCGTCAGTGTGCAAAGTTTAAAACATGTTGAGGTCGGGTTCGTAAGAAATTCGTTAACTTTAATTTTTTGTTCGTTAACCAATTGGAAGATCTCTTATGGGAAGGCAAGTGCTCGTTAACCTAAATTTTGTTAAACGTAGGGTCTTTGCAGTTATATATATATATAGTATATATATATATATATATATATATATATATATATATATATATATATATATATATATATATATATATATATATATATATATATATATATATATACACACATACATACATACATACATACATATACATATACACTGTACATGTGCATCAGAACAAAAAACCCAATTAGAACAAGAGAACATTTAAAGTAAAGGTAAACACAAACATAATTTATTCCATAATATGACAAGTATTGCCCTAATTTTTAATGGGATCGATAATGGTATAGATAAAGTTTAAATAGAAGGGTTTGCTCTTATTTATGGAGATTTCCTCCCCCCAAGATTTTCACCCACAAATTCCATTTACAGCCTAAGTAAAGAGGATCACAATGAAAAATGCACATTTCATCATCAATTAAGAATATGAAGTATATGAAGCAACCTAACCAAACTAACTTATAAAATATTACTGTACTGCATTGTGTGGTGTAAAGATTAGCTACAGCAGAAATTTGTATTATTTTGCATGGAACCTTCTTATATTTTACCTTGATATGTTTGTTTTCATGCATAAACAAAAATATCAGTGGAATGATCTGATGATTTACCCCCAGCTTACTTCACCTGAAAATTAACCACCCTAATATTAGCTATAGGGATATAGGTTAAGTTAGCATTAGGGTGATAAAGCTAAATGTAAAATAAGCTCGGGACAAAAGCTGTATTAATAAAATGATTTTAAGCTATATTTTTGGTAATGTTAGGTTATGTTATATCATGATATTAGCTCTATAGCCTTGTTGAGTAAGCATTATTTACGAATGCATCGCTTCATATGGGGTGATGTAAAATGGGTAATTCTTATCTTTGGGATTAGGTAATAATAATTGATATTCAGTCAATTTGACCAAGGATAGCTGACAAAACCATGAGAGGCCTGTTTCCAGTAGAATCCATATGCCAGCAGCATCTGATGTTCTTAGGGCTAGGCGGTCACCATCCAAGTACTAACCAGACCCAGCATTGGTAAACTTTGCTAATCTGACAAGAAGTGGGGTTTCCAATGTGGTACAGTACAAAGCTGCATATACTGTACTGTACCTATAGTTCAGACTTATAGATAAAATTAAGTTCCACTTATCAGCTGTGTTGGGTGATCGTATTGAAATTTGTATTTAAAAAAATAAATTTCATAAAATTCAACAAAATTCTGACAGGACACTAAGGTGTACCTAACCATCTTGTTAGATTCTGTAACAGTCTCGTGGCCAGTAGGCTGTTGCCCTCATCCAGTCTGCCATATTAAAAAAATCATGACTGAGTTGTGTTTGATTTTAGCTGGAATGCATCTGAACACATCCAAACTTTGTTCATTCTTGCTAATATTAGACGTTCTTCAGTGATGGGTTGGTTTCATTCACTGCCACTTCCAGAGGCCATGGCGTACTTGCTACAAACCTAAACTTAAGTTTTCCAATGTAAATTTTGGTAAAGTCAACTTTTTTAGGTTCTTCAATTAGAATACAGAATTCATCTTTTCCATTTAGTGCCCTAAACAATGTAATTATTGCCAAGAAAAGGAAATAATTTTATGCATCCATGTTTAAAGGGTACACGTATACACTTTTTACTTTGTTCCCTCACTGGATTTGCATTCCATAAACTAAAAAAATAAAAAAAATAAAAAAAAATAATCTGGGATCCCTGTTCAAAGTACTGTATTGAAGATACATACAGTATGACATGGGTAAACAAACATGAACTTATACCCATACAGTAGGTTGTTCTGCTTGGTCGCCAAGCTATGCCAATGTCCAAAGGAGACCTACCAAACTGGTGTCAACACTCAGGCACCTCACTTATGAGGAGACTAGAACATTTTTAGCTGTCGTGTTTCTACTACAGAAGAGGAAGGGGAATTTCATAGAAGTGTACAGTATGAGCAACTCAAATGGCATTGCATGGTCAAATGAACATGTCTGAAGTTAGTGGGTGGCAATCTTGCTAGAGGTCACAATATAAATTTTAAAAAATCATTCATTACAGAAACAAAACTGTCATAGCTAACTTCTTTGGAGTTAGAGCTGTGGTCTCTGGGAATAACCTGTCATTGAATGTTGTAACAGCGCCAAGTTTGACCTTTAAGTTCAGGCTTCACAGACACTGGAATAGTGTTCAACTTTTTCAGGTACAGTACATTAAAGTTCCCATATGTGCCCAGTACAGGTACTTACTGACATGTGTAACAGAGAACTGGCCAACTGTTTTACCAGGTGGTAATATGTTTTGTGACGAAAAGGATAAAGACTAAGAGTGGCAGTAACTGTTCATAGTTGTGCAATTTTCTTTGGTACTGCAGTGCTTCATTTCATAATACTTTACTGTACAGAACATTATACATTATATGAACCGACCAAATCTAACCTTGCTTATCATGGGTGTCTGCAAGGGTTGGGGCTAAGATGATCAGTGACTAATTAATCTTTCATTTTTATATTGCTTTCGACAGGAGGAGGTCCAGCAGGCATGGCCACCAGACTGCTGGAGCAGGTGAGCCAGTCTCTCACCTTGCCCACAGAATATTGCTGCCAGGGTTCTCTACCAGACTTGGTGGAGAGCTTCGTGTATTCTCCTTGGCTAAGGTAAGATTATGCTTCAGTCTTAGCAAACTAAGTGGAAAACCAATTAATACAAGAAACTGCATTTTTCATTATAGTCCATTTTTTCTCAGCTGAGATAAGATGCCCCGCCCCTTCTCAAGAATTATAGCTGAATGGTGGTTTCAAACCTGTCCGATTTCGTCCTGAAGTAATGATGTATTTCTAAATGAGTTCATTCATAATCGTTGGGATGACCATTTCTGACAAGAAAGATATTTAGCTAAATTATATAAAGATACATACATTCATTATTTGAAACATAAGTACGTAGGAAGTTTATCAGAAGTATTATACATGAATTAACTGTTAAACTCTGGTAGAAAATTCACGCTTTTGGAGGATGTGTTTAATATATGCAGTACTTATTTTTACCAACAATAAGGCATACTAAGACAAATTACATATCAGTAATACTACATTATACAAAAACTAACATTTTAAAAGATTAGAATCACATTGAAATATTTACACGGCCGTCAGCAGAAGCGGGAAATGCAACTTCGAACAACTTCATATTTTCCGTCTCTGCTGACGGCCGTGTAAATATTTCAATGTGATTCTAATCTTTTAAAATGTTAGTTTTTGTATAATGTAGTATTACTGATATGTAATTTGTCTTAGTACAGATAGTCCTCGACTTACGACATACTCGACTTACGACCACCCGGACGTACGACCGCTGCAGTCATATAAAATATTTTTCAAATTACGTATTTTCGAGTCCCGACGTTAGTGATCACACTGTGTACTGACAAAATTTTCGTTTGTAATTCCCTTTAAAATGGCTGGCAAGCGTAAAGGTGAGAGTTCTCGTGATGCTGAGAAGAAAAAGAGACACCCATTTTACTGAAGATTTTCTATGTATTATTTTCGCATTTTCTACTTACGGCCTGGTCGTGGGTCCTTAGCCCCGTCGTAAGTCGAGGACTGACTGTATGCCTTATTGTTGGTAAAAATAAGTATACAGTCAACCCTCGCTTTACGCGGTCCCACTTTACGCGTTTCCACCTTTATGCGGTACCCTGCCGAACATGGAATGCTCACTTTCCGTGGTGTGTGTACCCTTTTACGCGGAGAGCGGCTCGAGCAGGGTGCGCACAAGGTCGCCCAGTCATCAAAACATTACCGAGTTCTTCACCCGCCACCCACCACAGCCGGCCCAAGTCAGTGATAGTGATAATGATAGTGAGGATATGGACATATATGGACTTTGAGGGGATTGACAAAGAGGCCCTGCAAGCCTATGTGGTGGATAGTGATACAATTGATACAAGTGATACAGGTGAGGGCCAATAATCTGCCCTCTGCCTCGGAACCAACCCCCCATCCCCGTGTGCCCAGCCATCTTTTCTACTAATGTAATTGTTAAAAACCTAATATTATTGATATTTCTCTTAATTATTAATTGTGTGTGCATACCATCATAAAATTAAGAAGTTATTTTTACTACAACGTAGGTATTGTGTCTGAAAAAGTGGAGTTCGGGGGTCGGCCCGGTCTCTATTTCAATTAATCCCATATGTTATGTTGTTCACTTTACGCGTTTCTCACTTTACGCGGGCCGCCGTGGGTTCAATTGACCGCGTAAAGTTAGGGTTCACTATATTAAATGCATCCTCCGAAGGCGTGAATTTGCTACCAGAGTTTAACAGTTAATTCATGTACTGTATAATACTTCTGATAAACTTCCTATGTACTTATGTTTGAAATAATGAATGTATATATCTTTATATAATTTAGCTAAATTTCTTTCTCGTCAGAAACAGTCATCCCAACTATTATGAATAAACTAATTGAGAAAGAAATACATCATTACTTCAGGACGAAATGGGACAGGTTTGAAACCGCCATTCAACTGTAATTCTTGAGAATGGGCGGGGCATCTTTTCTCAGCTGAGAAAAAACGCGTTATAGTCATATGAGAATAAGGTACCGGTGTAGTAAATGGCAACTGCATTTGATTAACGATGTATATTCAGATTAACAACCCCTTAATTTTTGGGCTAAAAAACTCAAAGATAGTAACTGTAGAAAAGTTGCCGACCGTTTTTGTATCCTGTATAGCGGATCATGAGGTATTTTAAAGGAATATGTAGACCCTGCATCAGTGCTCATAATATTGTTTTTCACTCTGTCACCAGGGCTGTAGTCAGAGATGGAACATTCTCGCCCCCTCCACTACATGACACCCTCAGTGCAGCAGAGGTTCAGTCTTCCCTGCAGCTTGGAGAGAGAATAGGGGACCTGTGGCAGAGAGTACTAATTCAGGTAATATATTTCTTTCGTTTATCATGTATTGTAAGTTGAGAAAGTGTGTCTTCTTGATGCCTCAGCTCTTACCTGCTATGTCTTACAGTGGGGTATGCTATAACGAATCTAATTGGTTCTAGAACCTCGTTCGTTATAGCATTCGTTCGTTATAGGATTAATCCGTTCCAGGCCCCCAAATACAACCACTTAGCACTGAAAAAATTCTGTGGAAAATGTAAAAAATACGGTACTTTATCTTACCTTAGTGTTGTTCAGCATGCAGGACAGGAGGCAGAGGGGGAGGGGGGAGGAGAGAATTATGGAGAAGAGGTGGAAGGAGAGGAGTCATCCTTCCTAGCCCTCATTGGTGACTGTCTCACAGGCACTTTGTCTGTAGATTCTTTTGTTACCTTTTTAAAGAAGGAATCCAGGGTTGGCTGCTTCAACCTTGATTTCTGGACCTTCCAAAAGTAGTTCATAACATTGTCATTAAACACACTGATGGCCTTTTGCACAGAACCAACATCAGGATGAAAATCCTCAGCAAGTTTGGACAGTTTGCTCCAGCAAAAGAACGCATCCTTGAGATCTTTGGCTGGAATGATGCGGCTTTCCTCTTTGTCCTCCTCCTCCCCTGACTCCTCAGAAGTTAAGCTCCGCTTCAGTGTCTCGTTTTGTTCTTTGTGAAGCTCAAGCAGCTCCTCAGTGGACAGTTCCTTACTGTGCTCTTCCACCAACTCCTCAACATCATCATCATCATCCACTTCCAGGCCCATGGAATTGCCCAGAGACACAATTTCATGAAGAACAACCTCCTCTTCTAACTCTTCGAAGCCTTCAAAGTCTCTTTGAAGCACACATTCAGGCTACAATGGCTTCCAAGCAGCACAAAGACACCTCACAGTAACCTCTTTCCAGGCTGAGGTAATTAAAAAAACAGCATCTGCTATATTGAAGTGACTCTTCTAGAATTCCTTCAAACTAACATCACTGGAAGAAGTGGACGCAAAACATTTTCTAAACAGTGCCTTTGTGTACAGCTTCTTAAAGTTAGAAATTACTTGTTGATCCATGGGCTGGATGAGAGGTGTTGTGTTGGGTGGCAAGAAGTGCACAGTGATGAAGTTGAACTCCTCTGGCAATTCAACCATCAAATTAGGAGGGTGGGCTGGTGCATTGTCCATCACCAACAAAGCTTTCAGTGGAAGATTATTCTCCCTGAGGTATTCCTGAACACTGGGTCCAAACACCTCAATCACCCACTCAGAGAATAAATTCCTGGTCACCCAAGCCTTTGGGTTTAACCTCCACATAACACCAAGGTGGGTCTTCCTAATGTTTTTGAAAGCTCTGGGGTTTTCTGCATGGTACACAAGGAGTGGCTTTATTTTGCAGTCACCAGAAGCATTAGCACAAAGAAGGAGGGTAAGCCTGTCTTTCATTGGCTTATGGCCAGGGACAGAAGTTTCCTCCTTGGTAATGTATGTACGGCGAGGCATTTTTTCCAAAAAAGTCCAGTTTCATCACAGTTGAATACCTGCTGAGAAACAAAGCCTCCCTCTTTAATCACATTAAAAAAAAGTCATGGTGTTCCTTAGCTGCTTCCTTATCTGCACTAGCAGTATCACCATGTCTCAAAACACTATGTAATTTATTTCTCCTTCTGAAACCAGTAAACCACCCCTTGGTACCCCTAAACACTGGCACATCACTATCACTTGCACTGGGAGTCTTGGCTTTAAGGTCCTCAAACAATTGTCTGGCCTTCTCACAAATTATAGCTTCACTAATGCTATCATCTGCCATTTCTTTCTCCTTTATCCACACTAAGAGTAAATATTCCGTCTCCTCAATCACATTACACCTTGCTTTGCTAAGTCTAGAGATTCCCTTAGCCACTTTCACAGTTTTCAACTCCCCTTTATTCTTTAAATTCGTACATAAAGTCGATTTAGCCATCCCATACTCATCACTAAGTTTCGCAATGCTTGTTCCATCCTCATGTTTCTTTATGATTTCTTTCTTAGTTTCAAGAGTTATGAGCTTTCTCTCTCGCTTTGGACGATTCATTGTTACAATTGTACACTTGTATAACAAAACATTTATACAAATAACTCTATTTCCACATCAAAAGACAAAATTTCAACAATAACAGTGGTGCACTGGCTACACAATGAGACAAAGATGGCGCCTGGCGCTCTTGTTGTGGGTCGCGGTACAACAATATTCATGCGCCAGGTGAAATAGTCCCGTATTCATCCGCGTTCATTGTAGGAGTTGCGTTCGTTATAGCATTCTCATTTTTATAGGTAAAACCGTTCATTATAGGAATATTCGTAGTAGGGTCCGTTCGTTATAGCATACCCCACATTCTTTTACATCCCTTTCTCTCCCATGTTATTTCTACCTCATTTGAGATTTCTGTACCCTTTGAGTCACACATTAATGGTCTTAATTGTACAGTATTATAATACTATATATTTATTGGATTTTGCTTGCTTCTTTGTGTTCACTGAAGAAATGTTAGTCGAGCAGGTATGTTGTCCTGTGTATAGACTCGGTTGTTTTGGTTTTAATGGTACAAAATTCTTAATCATTTGGGTAGCTGCTTACATAACTTTTATCCGATAAACCTGTTTTTCAGGTTATTCCGAAAAATGAAATTCGGGTGTATCCACTGGCCAGAAACTCAGGACATTCACCTGGGTTGATGGCAGATGTTTCCTACTCACAGTTGCTTCATTATGTTGCAACTTCCAATAACAAGAACTTATGGAAAGATGCCTACAAGAAATACTCAGGTTTGTAACCAAAGTAGAATCAGTAATTATGCTCACTGTTAGTCCTATAAACTGTCTCCCTTTCATTATACTTTACAAGGAGATCAAAAACTTGAAGTGGAATGAGAAAAGTTTTTCATATGTTCCATTTGCCACAGAGGAAGAGCTGGAATGAGTATTGAACATGTTACACCACTTACAGGAATGTCATGATGCTCGTGGCAATCACTTTGAACATTTGATATAAGTTCTAAGTTATATACGGTATAGTAATTAAATGATAATGTAAATAAAAGCTTCATTGCACTGTAACATTTTGAACACCATGTATTCACTAAAATTCAACCATGATACACTATCAGCTGTATATGAAGAGAAATCCAGTTTTCTTGGTAACTTAGTACAGTACTGATAAGCTGAGTATGGTAGTTGATCACTATTTTTCTATGCCAACTTGCAACCAAAAGGAATTATTGTGCTTATTTATCACAAACGGTAACTTCTTGTCTTCAAAAGTCTTATGCAGGAGTTCCTGTCTTCACTATTTATGAAAACTAAAGAATTTATGAACAAAATATAAATTGGCCACAGGGACCTGATTATGGGCTTTGCCTGTGTCCTACCTGCAGCTCATAACTGACTCTTTTAGTACAGATGAGTGACAATGAGTTTATGACAACTTGTTGTTAACCCTTTAGTGGTAGGGGCTCCCCTCAGCTGAATAAAATCGTCTGGCACTAGCCAGAATAAAATACCTAAGGGATACTTTGCCCTCTAAAGGGTTAAACCACTGCCAAGTGGATTTTTATATCACTTTGTGTGTCTGTGTATTCCAGTGAGCTGTCTATTACCAAGCGGGCTTATTGAGTTTTAATTGATTCAGTGTTGACCATGAAGTAAAAATAATTACCGTTTGAAAAAATATGTTAATCACTTGTAGCTTTAAATATTGGTGGGTTGGATTAGGTTGAGTTTTGGGAGATATAGCAGCCATTAATTTGGAGTTGAGTCACAGGCTAAAGTTAATATTGATACTACAGTAATCTCTCAAAACACTTTGACTAATGTTGATGTAATTTGTTTGATGGGTAAGTGTAAGCTATTGGGTGACCAGGTGGCAACTTTGGGGTTGTGTTATAGAAAGGGAATGTCATAGGAGTCCTAGAAGGAACAGATGACAGAAATTGAGAGAGAAAGTGGGTCTTGGTTAAGGAGTGAGAGTCTTTGTTACATGATTCCTCCCACCCAGCACCAAAGAAGGAAAGGCTATTGTGTTAGGTTAAAGAATTAAATATCGTAATTGAAAAACCTTTAATGATATGCCTTAGGTATTTTTGCAGACTATTTCCTGTTTTGACCCTTTTCATTTTATCATAAGTTGAACTGAATTATAAACTGAAGTGTTTGCCTTATCTTTGTTCTTTATGATTTATTTGAATTTACTTGGAAAGAAAATCATAAACAGTGGGGTATGCTATAACGAATCTAATTGGTTCTAGAACCTTGTTCGTTATAAGATTAATCCGTTCCAGGCCCCCAAATACAACCACTTAACACTGAAAAATATAATATAAAATTGTAAAAATTGTAAAAAAGTGCATAAATATGCATCTAAACTCCTGAAATAAGAATATCATTAATACTTGTAATAAAAAAAAAATACTGGTCGTTGTAGGAGTTTCGTTCGTTATAGCATTCTCAATTTTATAAGTAAAACCGTTCGTTATAGGAATATTCGTAGTAGAATCCGTTTGTTATAGCATACCCCACTGTACTAATGTACAAGTACAGTATAAGTATACATATACAGTATAAACATTTACTGGGGATAATACATAAAGTATTAATAAGATTTATTTCCAATGTGTTTTTCTGCAGACCACGGTGTAGCAGTACAGTGGAAGGGAGGAGCCCAGGTGGGAACAGACAGCTTAAACAATGTTCTAAGGGAGGTCCTGTGGAGGCTGTATGGCTGCAAAATTATACCAATACAGTTAGTATACTTTTGTGTTATTGTTGTGATATATTTGTAGTTTGTTTTAGTTTCTTACTGGTGAAACTACTGGTAACCTGGAACTTGTATTTTACCCCCACTTAGCCATCTTTCCATGCATCCATCTGCTTGTCCAGCACTCAATTGTGTATGATTTCATTATTTAATTTGAACTATTCTGTGACACTTATACCCAAGATAATTTGTACTGGGTTGTTAGGAAGCTGATGGTCTCTGTTTGATCACAAAGCACTGAATGGGTTCCTGTCATATATCTGGTCAAATGGTAGGATAGGAAAAAAGTCGACATCACAGGGACCTCATCAGACTATTTGCAATACTGTACTGTATTGTAATTTCTTTTTGCAGAGGAGAGTCTCGTGTGCACTCTGGTATACAGAACAGTCGTGTCCACGGCCCACACTCTAACACACTGCCTGCGATCTGTGCCCTTGAAGGAGACCAGTCTATGTTTGTTATCCTCAGCAATGTTCATCATAATGTACAACAGTGTGTCTCATTTAGGTAAGAAGAGATAGAGAATTTTTATTTTCAACACTGTGTTTAATATCAAAGAATGAGGACAATAGTTGTTGCCTTGTGTAAGTTTATACAGTTTTACATAAGATGCTTCATTGACAACATCATAGGTCTACAGTTTTCAGAAAATACACAAAAACATTACTTAAAACCATTAGTATGTTGAGGCAATGAATGAATTTGGGTCAGATATCCTTAGTTAATATAGTGTCAACACATAATAAATGATATTGAGTCATGGGATAGCACAGATAAGGCCATTTACCCAAGAGCTAGTGTTCAAGCTCCCATAAGTGAGATTTGATCATCATTCCTCTCACTCCTCTGTAATGGAATTCCTCACCTTTCACATCTTCCTATTCACCTAAATCTCACAGCTCATTAAAAGTTGGGGATTCACAAATTGTAAATTTTTTTTTTCTTATATACCGTATACCGTAGTTTACTGGACAAACCTTGCTAGAGTCTAGATAACTTTTTAATTGTTTTTGTCCCTTAGAGAACACATTGTAATTGGTATATGAGTACTGTACTGTATATGTGTTCACAGAATTAGTTTTCTTCATTTTCATTTGGTTGTAATATCTGTAGCCTTTCATGCTTCAGGTAATAATATACTTTTACAAATTTTCAACCCACAGCCCTGCCAAATTAAATGGGTCTGAAGCTCGGCCACTGTTTGTACTGTACCAGATATTAGAAGCAGCTAGAGACACACATGATCGGGGTCTGCACCTTGGAGACTTTACCCTCAGTCACCTTTTCATTGATGATTCCCTCTACCTCAGCTTTCTGCCCAGGATCCAGGATAATTTGATTCACCCAGATTCACTACAGCCTTTACCTGTACCAAGAGAAAAGGCAGGGAATGAAGTCTTATTGGAGGTGGACTCGAGGGGGGAGAAATCCTATAGGAAAATTTCACTCCCGTTGGATGCATCTCAGTGTATGGTGGACCGGGAATTTGAACACACGTTTGACAATCAAGATCACGGTGAAGAAAACAACATTGCCTCTCAAAGTAAACTAACTGGCTCTGTGTTAATGAACAGTCTTTTGACTATAACGAGAAAAAGTGATGTTTGTGGTAGTGATTGTACAGTGAAGGATGTTGTTAGTGAGGAGTCAAAGAATCTGAGTGAAGCAAATCAGTTTGATACAAGAGTGCTAGAATATCAGAGACTCCTGTCCAGTGAGGAGGCATTTGATGTCTTAAAGCAGGTATGTTTCTAATTAATTTTTATACAGATAGAAGCAATTATTAATTTTTCCAGACATTGTACAGTTATTAAAGAAGTGTCTTTACTATCTACTGTACACCCACCTCTCATTTTAAGCTGGGTTAACGTTCTTGAAAATCACCGCATAATTTAAAAACTTGTAAATTAAACATATTTTTCTCATAAAAATGCATGTAAATGGGACAGGTTAGGAGAAAAATCATATAACTGTCACAATAAATATTCTTTTACCTTACCCATTAATAAATAAAAAAACAGCTGATAAAGGAAAAACAATTGTAAATGCATCTTAAATAACACTTACTTTGACGACTGGCGATTTCTGCTTGCCCAAGATGGTTTAGGGGAGGGTTAAGGAAGAAGGTTACAGAGGCGGAGGCGAAAGCATGGGTGAGTCAGTGGTTAAGGTAGCAGTAGGCTGTGGTCTGCAGATACCAGATGTCGATGGCTGAGATGCGTTGTTGCCAGATTTCAAGAAATATTAGAACAATATCTCTGTCTTGGCATTATCTCGAATGGTACAAACAGTGCTCTCGCTTACACAAAGCACACGGCCAACATCCGATACACGCTTTCCTCTCTGAAGGCGGTTGATCACATCTAATTCCACGTCCATTGTGATTGTTTTTTATTGCCTTTTTAGCTTTAGGCTCCCCAGATGAGGCAGATGGACATTTTCCAAACATGCTCGATGCAGACAACAGCGTTTAACACTAAAAATGATACGTGATGAACACACAAAGCAAAAGTAGTGCAGATGCGAACGAAGGAAGCGGTATGTGGGAAGCTTGCTGGGCGCCGTCACAGTTGTTTTACAGTACTGCATTATCATCATTATCTTCATCATCATTAGTAGTAATAATCTTTATTATTACATTATAGTCAGTCCTCGACTTACGACTGGGTTAGGGACCGACGACCGGGTCGTAAGTCGAAAATGCGAAATAATACATAGAAAATCTAAAATGGGTGTCTCTCTTTCTTCTCAGCACCACGAGAACTCTCACCTTTACGCTTGCCAGCCATTTTAAAGGGAATTACAAACGAAAATTTTGTCGGTACATAGCGCGATCACTAACATCGGGACTCGAAAATACGTAATTTGAAAAATATTTTATACAACTGCGGCAGTCGCATGTCCGGGTGGTCATAAGTCGGGTAGGTCGTAAGTCGAGGAGTACCTGTATTATAATAATTGTTATTATTATTAATAATATTAAAATCGTCTATGTTGATATGATTGTGACTTTATAGTAATACAAGCACCTCACCAGGCATCACATGCGACTCCGCTGCCCGGCGAATATGCGGCAAATTTCAAATTTGAACGCGACATTTCAAAAATAGGTGCGCGTAAATTAGGTTTTGGTATTAATTAAACAATCGCTTTATTCCAAAATAGCTTAAATCAAACGTGCGTAAAACGCTAGATGCCTGTGCATCCCTCTCTCATTTTTGTGTGGGATGGGTCAAGGAAATGTGGAAAATACTAGAAGTGAAATGATGCAAGACAAGCATAGAAAATGGCACGAAAGAATTAGAGCATGCTTACTCATATCTCCAGCTAACATGTACAGTTGTGAACAAATTAATTTGGCAGGGAGAGAGAGGGAGGTTAGGGGTAGGTGGAGACTTGGTAACACTCCCTAGAGGTGGTGGTTAAAAGTCTGCGATATTCTTTTCATATCACAAATGTTGAGGCAGGCGCACCTTACACTGCTATAAATAACTCTACACTGTACACCAAAACAACCACAAAAAGGCTGCATAAAGTTAAATGTTTGAGGAGATATTTCACCACCACCTCAGTATGACATTACCAATTCTCCTCGTACACCTCTACCCTCCCTCCCTCCCTCCCTCCCTCTCTGCTGAATTCTTTTTGTCTACAACTTAATATTAGTTAAAATAGCAAGAAAGAACTACAACATACTTACTCTTATCTTCAGTTTGCATGTATAGTACAGCAGAACGCCGATTTAAAGCGATTCAATTTAAGATTACAGTATTGATTTAAAGGGACACCCACAATTAGGATAATGTTTTAATTTAAAGCGAATCTTTCCTATTTTACGCTAGTCAATCTGGTGCATCATATTTAAATCTTTGCGCCTAATGTTTCTCTGGGCACGTAACACTATCCTAAGGGCAAAGCTGTACTGTACATATACTCAAAATAATGTACTAAATGATTACTAAAATATTTGTCTAGTGCAAACTATAGCATGATTATATAAGAATTCCATCAATGTAAATTATATTCTCCCTGATCACTTCTGTGACATTTTATAAGCAAAAAACAAAAACTCAGTCTAAAGGACATAAATAAACAAATAAATACTTCACTAGACCTTCGGCACAACTGTCAAACATGTCAGTGTCACTTCCCCTCCCTCCCTCCCATCTTCCCAGCCAGGGTTGGATGGTTATAGGCTTTAAGTTTTTATCTTATATAATATCACAGACTAAAGTTAGGAGAATATAATTAGCATTGCTAGAATCCTTGCAAGACAGCGAATAATTTGAATATAAACGTCATATATTTTGCACAAGAGATAAAAATTTTAGCCCTTTGTAACAAAATTAATTAGAACTAAAATTTGTATGTCTAATGCGAACTATAGCATGTATATATTCAAACTAATCACTATCTTATAAGAATTTCAGCAATGTTAATTATATTCTCCCAGGTCAGTTCAGTGACATTTTATAAGAGAAAAACTTAGTCACTCTTAAGGACAGATAATACACAATGCAGTGATGCTCAACTCTAGCCACCTCCTTATCATGGGGGACTTTAACTATGGTGACATCGACTGGAGAAACAAGTTCACCCCAAATGATTTAAATAACACTGCTACTCTTTTTTGTAGAAACTCGGAGAGATAATTTTCTGTTCCAACATGTTAGAGACCCGACACATTACATAGGGGAGCAAACACCCGTGCCACTGGACCTCTTCTTAACAAACGAGGAGAGGAGGGTATGGTGGCCAAACTGTAACATCTTGCCCCAGTTGGTACCAGTCACCATATAGTGTTGTCATTCAGATTTAACTGTTACCTAGTTCAAGACAAAACCAGGCCAAGATGCAAATAACACAGGGGAAATTACAATGGGATGAGGGAAGAGATGAGGGGTATCCACTGGTCTTATTCACTAAAGCACAAGAACGCAGACACTACGCTGAATATCATAACTAGTAAAGTGACCCATTTGATCGATAAATATATACCCAAGACCAAACCCAGTGCCTCTAAGAATACGAGGGGATCCCTACACATGAACCATGCGGAGATTGACAAAGTTAAGAAGAAAACCCAGAAATTCAAGACATGGACTAGGTCAACCAATGAGCAGGACAAGAGGATGTATGCAAGAGCCAGAAACCAAGCAAAGGCAGAGTGTAGAAAGGGCTGAAAAGGAGTTCCAAAGGCTGGTTGCAAGCGAGATCAAGTCAAACCCAAAGGCGTTTTATCTCTATGCAAAGTCAAAATTAAAACTGCAAGTAGGAGTATCAGACCTGAGGCTTGAAGATGGTAGTTATGCAGATTCTGACCAGGATAAAGCTGAGGCATTGAACAGCTTCTTTTCCTCGGTGTTCACAAGAGAGGATGCGATTAACCTTCCTGCGATGGAGGACAGACGGTTTGACACAGCACTGACCCACATTGTGTTCACAGAAGAGGGTATAAGAAATAAACTGTCAAAGCTAAGGACCATGAGAGTCCCGGCCCTGACATGGTGCATCCCAGAGTGCTAAGAGAGTTGTACAACAAGCTTGCCTAACCCCTGAAGATCCTGTTTTGTAAATGCCTGGATGAACAAAAGGTCCCCAGTGAATGGAAAATGGCTTATGTGAGTCCTGTCTTTAAGAAGGGCGATCATCACTCCAAGAACAACTATAGACCGGTGAGCCTGACCAACATAATAAGTAAAGTACTTGAGAGTGTTATCAGAGATGCTGCGATGGAACATCTACTACGAAACAACCTTGTAAAGGATTGCCAATATGTTTTTATGCTGGGGCGCTCCTGCTTAACACAATTGATCAAGGTATTGGATATTTGGACCCATATTCTGGAACGGGTGGTAATATCGACAATGTATACAGTGGTCCCTCGGTTAACGAACACAATCCGTTCCAGCAGGTTGTTCGTTAACCGAAAAATTCGTTAACCGAAACCATTGTTTCAATGGGTTTTTGGGTAATTGGTTCCAGCTCACCGAAAATTGCCTAAATTCAACAAAAATGGTAGAAAAGTTCACTTACTTTGAGGTGTGTATGTAGAAGGCTCCTGGATGATGATGATGATGTGCATTTGAAGTGGGAGGTGGAGGAGAAGGAAGAAGAGAAGGCATTGGGGTGGAAGAGAAGTCACCCCATGGCACCATTTCACCCATAAAATTTTAGTTCTCTTGGTGTATTTCAAGATTATTTTCTTTAAATCAACACTGCACTGCATTATATATTGTCAATATGGAAAATATATTTCAAAATGACCAATAATTTGCTTGGAAACACAGAAAAAAAAGCGTTTAGTTGAAGAGTCTCAAGCAAGATGTTACCTCCAGTGAAAACAGAGAGAAACTAACGCCTGTCTGGTGTGTTAACAGGCTGGATGGCACGCCAGAAACTAGTTTCTTTACCTTCAATTATGTTCAATAATTGTTAAAATGACTAAAAAAGTTAATATTAAACTTTTAAAATTATTGAATAGTATAAACTTCTTGATATTTACTACAATAGTAAGGAATTTAAGCCCTAGAACCGATTAATGTATTGGCGGACTAATACTAAAACTGGTTGACCGGCCAGTGCAAGCGAAAACATGTTGAGGTCGGTTCGTAAGAAATGCGTTAACCGAATTTGAGAATCTTATGGGAGGCAGTTCGTTAACCGAAATTTCGTTAACCGAGGCGTTCGTTAACCGAGGGACCACTGTACCTAGATTTTGCCAAGGCTTTCGACAGTGTATC